CCTTTTTTTTCAATCTAGTGCAAGAAAACCACATCTGCAATATGCATAATGCTCTAAAAACTGCAGCATCAGAGGGAAAACACTGCCAGTGTTTTCAGCTATCTACACTTCAAAGAGACATGACTTGAAAAAGAATAGTACTAGAGTTCTCGAGAAGGTGCTTGTATTTTGTGTCTCAGGGCAAGTTTGCTTAAGGTAGCTGCCTTATCTTTCAGCTTTCACACTCTAGGTAAAGCACGTCCTAAGCACAAAGAGAAACGTGGGTTTATTTCCAGCAGACAATACCTAGGAAATCTGAAATAACTGGTATTTATTGCATTGCTTTGTCAGAACCAGAAGTGTCCTATTGAGCGGGGTGATCATCGGCTCTGTATTTCTGTAGAGCTGAAGGGTCTGGGTCTGCGCTTTGTCCATGAAATTGTATTGGACTTGGGGCTAGATGGAGATGGGAATATGAAAAGAAGTGTCTGTGAAGCAATATCCATGTGTTTTGTCTTCCATCTGCAGCAATGTAAGCATTGAGTGGAGCACAGCAGTACAGAGAGGGCTACTGCAAGGGGCAGGGTCTCAGCCAGCGTGGTGGTTGGTACCAGGTCCATGTCCCTGCTCTGACATAGACTGCATCTGTCATCTCTAGTCATCAAATGGCAAAAGTAGTCCTTCGTATTGGTGTTTTTTGGGTAAATCAGCATGTCAAAGACTATAAAAAGCTGTGAAAACAAGGTGAGAGCGGCCAGGTAGCTATCATATACCTTACTTCTCATCTCCAAAACAATCTTTTCTTCCCAGGCTGAGTGCTTACTTTATACCATAGTAAACCTCTAACAACCTAGAACTTGATGGCCATGGTTGTAGGGCAAAAGGAGTTGGTACTGGGGGTTAAAGCACTGGGGATGAAGCTAATGTTGTGGGGCAAGATGCCCGTGAAGAGGAATTCAGCATTGAAATGTTGTATATATGGACCTGACAGAGCATTTATGTCCCCAAATTCTCTTGTGAATGGGGTCCATGGGATGCATTAGCGGCATTTCAGCTCTTCCGTGTGGAGCAGCAATCAGATGCAAGCAAGCTGCTTGATTCTTTTAAGAGCAGAAAAGCAATCGATCATGAAAATATTAAGGCTCCTTTCACCTTGAACACCTAGAATTTTGTTTCAAAGGGCAAGACAGATACGCAGAGCACCTAGTGAAAGGCAGAGTAAGTTATAAGAGGTGTGGCAGACATTCCTTGTGAGGAAAGCTTAAATTGATTAAGAGACAAATAAAAGGTGATATGTTGGCGGTATATAGGATAGTGAATTGCCCGAAGAGGTCAGTCAGATGATCCTATTTAGCTTTTCCCATAAATCAAGAACAAGTGGAGTGCTATACAATAATGCTAAAAGCTAATGAATTTACAAGTGATACAAGTGAAATATTTTCTTACATGGTGCATAATTAACCTGGGAAATTCATCAGATACTATTAAGACAAAGAGTCTACTGGTATTAAAAATGAATAAGTGACAGAAACTGCATAAACATAGCAACGTATACAGGATATTTAGCCATTTACTTAAAACCATTTGCTGCCCGAGGCTGCAAAGAAACATCCCCGGTGGGAAAGTTAGACATAATGGTTGGATTTCTTGTGTCTTTTTTTTTTCCCTGCAGCGGGTAGGCTGGAGGCTGAGTCACGGATTAGTTGAATCACTCTCAGTACCGTCATCGCAATATCCAAAGCACACCTACATCTACCAACAACTCAATGAGACAGCGTTCAAGAAGCTTCTGAACTTCTCCAAAAGCTTCTTAGAGCCAATATGGGTAAATCCAGCAGGGAGATAACCACTCCTTTACATGTCTCAGGTACATGGCTATGAAACTTGTGTGTAGGGATCAGCAGAGCAACCATGTTTTGAAGCAGGAGAAGGAGAATCGAGCGCAATTCATGAGTTGGCTGTTTATGAACTGAAATGTGCTCTAAGGTGGCCCTCAAATGGTGGTGCTTGCTGGGAAATTAATCGGCGTTCTGAATGTGTTGGGATTTATGGCCTCTCTTAAACGTATTAGAGCCACCAGCTTCTCCAGCAGGCCTAGCTCGTTGTCCTGGGTTTTGTAGTGCACCCGTTGCATTTTGGGGATCGGTGGGCAGGGTGCTTTGGTGAGGTGGTGAGCAGACCGGTTGGTCTTGGCTGGTGAAGCCTTCTTCATAGACGCTTTTTCCTTATGTGTTGCCTTACTTTCTTTGGGAAGCTCTACTCTCTTATCCAAGGCAAATGGTAGGGAATGTCCCTGTGTCCTGCAAAACAAGCATGGTCTTGGGCCCCATTTATGTATCCTGCAAAAATCAGGATTTCTGATGGAGAACTGTGCCTGTGGTTGCACTCGGCTCCCTTACACTCCACGTTGCCTTTGTGAATCCGCACAGAAATGCGTGGGAAGCTGCTGGGTGGTGGCAATACGTGTGCTCCCTCCGACTGGCTTTCAGCCTCTGGAGAATTAGCCATGTAAAATCTATACACAGTCTGATTACACTGCCAAAAGGGGCCCCAAATTCTTGCTTTCCAGCTCTCTTCCAAACTCCATCCATGGTCTGTATTCTACATACTAACCAATGAGCTTAACTTCTTGAATGCCTTAGGCTCTGTTGCAACATTCAAAAAAGAGATGTATTTTACCTGCAGTATGGCTGGTTTAGCAGAGATTTAAAGAAATATTAAAATGTTACCTTAAAAAAAAAGAATAAAAAAGGAAAATAAAGAGACACATGCACATATGAAAATAGTGGTCTTTTTTTTTTTTTTTTTTCAGGGCAGCACAAAATCAGAGCTGTTAGCAAGTCCTCTTCTAGTTACAGGTCTACAGTACTGGTCTGTGTTCTGCTGAACAATTCTGTTTTGCTATTGAATTTCTTGAGTAGAAGCTTATAAGTTTTCTAGAAAAAAAGATTAAGTTTTATCAATTGACATTTTTTTAAAGAGAAATCCTTCAATTGGAAGTGTCTTTTTATTTTTTATTTGTTTTTTATTTCATTACAGACCTCCTTCAGATACTGCATTTCACCATAACAACCCCACGACTGGGAGAGCTGATTTTTTATGCCAGCTTTTCTATTCAGAAAATGCTGTGTATAGGGAAAACAGGCAGAAAACTTGGCTGATATCTGGACAAATACCTCTGTTGCACCCTCAGTCTTCATTTCTTTGAGCCAGTTGTCATTACTAGTGATGCCTCCTTGCTTGATTTAGTTATGGTCTTTCTAAGACCAGTTCTTGAAACCAACTGTATTTTGCAAGACTAAGCTTTACTCAACAAAAAATTTAGCAGAGTTTGAGCACAACTTTTGCCAAGTTGGAGTGAATCTTCTTCTAAGTAACAACACCAATGCAGGGGTGAATATGACAATTAACATGATAAGTGAGCAACATTAGCGAGGCATGGGTCTTTAACAGAGCTTCTAACGGCGTGTCAACACATTTGGGCAAAATTCATATACACACCTTTCAAAGCTGAAGAAAACCTTGTGTGTCCAAAATTTTGCCTATTGCTATTATTATTTTTATACCAACCAAACCAGTTGATCTAATAAAAGATATGGCTTCATTTCATATGCCTCGTCTTGCTTATAAACACACAAAAGAGGAATCGCTATGCACCATAAGAAAGCTTAAAAGAAGATAAATTAATTAAGAATACTTTCTTCTGAGTGCAGCAGGATCCAAGTAACAAGTGAACTTTTCATTTCCAATAATAGCAGAAATTATTTCAATAGCATGATTGTGAGCACCCGTGGGGCCATAATGTGAATGGTCTTTATTAAGAAATAGACTGAACTTCTGACTATCTTTCTTCCAGTCACTTCCACAGACTATAAACAGCGCCTGGTTTGTTGCTATTAAAAGAGTCTAAAGACTGGGATGCTGAAAAACATTGCTGTCTAAGTACTGATGGTTTTACATTAACATGCAAAATATTTTCTTGAAAGTAAAGTGAATTTTGGTTCTTGAGAATGCCACAGTTTTGTTCAGAAATGGGTAAGTTCAATGCCTGTGGCACAGTCGGAAGCAGGATGCTTTTGGTTTTGTGCTTTGGATATTCATTGCAACTTACTGCCCCTCCTTTTTGCTTGATTTTTGGCCATGGTTGAGGTCAGAAGGCATCTTGGGACCCCTGGGCTCAGACTCATTTCAGGTTCACTGTTATGTATTTGTCCTCCTCCACGAGTACGTGGAGGAAAGAGCTTTCCCGCACAACACGGCATCTGGGGAAATGATGCTAAGCAAAAACTGGAGCAATTCGTGATCTGTGGAGGTGATACTGAAGACATATCTCTGGTGCACAGCAGACCTATGCATTAATCCTATGTTTTGGGGTCTTTAATTGCTTTAAATATTTGCTTCTAGATCTGTGTTTCACACATCTTATTTACATGGTTTATTTTTCATTTTATGAACAAATCGATAACCAGACAGACTCTTTACCACACTGGATTAGTTTTATTTATTCTCTTTGAACTTGATTAAAAAGCTGTCAAACATAAGTCTACATTTTATCAGCAGAATACTTTTACAAAACAGGGTAGGAGATGTGTATAGCTGGAAACATACATTTCAAAATGAAACAATATTTGATATATTCTAGACAGTTACCCTTTTGTTTATCCATGACAACTGAAACTAACCATCAAATGCATAAATTGATTCAAGTCTAGCCAAGTAATCCTAAGGGCATATGAAAAGGCTTTTTTTTTAAAGTTCTTTCTAGATGAATTTAATGTAGTTCACCAATAAAGCATCCTCAGGAGCACAATACAAATGCTACAGAACACGAGATAGCTTGGGAAAGCAGGCAGATGTACAGTGTGACGAGGAATCAAAATGGATGTTACATTAAAATGAGCAGGTCTTGCAATGTCTTCATCTCATGCACTGCATTCAAGTAAAAATGCCAAAGTTCGAATTTTGTTTGTGATTTTGAGGCATTATTCTGCAAATAGTTAGACTTTTCTAAAAAAATTCCTTTAGATGGATTAAATGTAATTTTTTTTGAACTCTTAGGATGGGGGAATTCATTGGTTTCGGTTATTCATTGTGTATTTAACTTTCAATTCATATCAAAGAACAGGTAACTCTTACTCAGACTAACTACAAATGATGTAGTTTTAATTCTCTCTGTTTTAATTTACAGCTTTTATTATATATTTTAATCCCCTTTCCATAAATCCCCTCAGTTACTATTTGTCTTTCTGTGCCATTGCATATGTTGGTAAACAGCATTTCCTATGGTCTTTGGCCATATGCTGTATGCTCAGCTTGAAAAAAACTGACACTTGGAGTGTTAGCATAATGAAACTCTCAAAGGGTTAATGCAGAATACATATAGGCAAATGTTGACAATATTTTTTATTCCAATGTTTGAAAATTAAACACAAAATCATCATTAAGTTTTCACAAAATGAGGCATCTGTCACTTGAAAGAAAAAGAAATATTTCAGAAATATGTTTACAGAAATGTAAAAATATTAGACATCAAGACAGATGTGAACGTTTTCAATAACAGGCCCTGTCTGTCAGTCTTCCTCAGAGCCGAAGATCTTGCTGTACTCGCTCAACATAAGTTCAACTATCTGATTTTGGTACAGCATGTGGACTGCCATGTTCCCTGTCTCCTTTTCAGGTCTAAGGAGTGTTGGTCCAAACACAATTCCTAAGCTTTGTGTTGACATAAGATTCACGGATTCCTTGGCTGCTATCCTGTTGACGAAAAGAAAGAATTGGTTAAAAAAAAAAGAAAAAAAGAGAGGGATGTCAAAGGAGTCGCTGTTGCATTTGAAGTGCACAAGAGATATGTTCTGCTGTTTTCTCTAACAGTGATGTCTAGTTGGTTAAGCTACAAAAAAGAAAGAAAAGTAGAAGGGATGACTTCTGTGAACACGATGGACAACGGATGGAAATTCGGCCACCGACAGCAAGACGTGAACCAGAGTGAGCTCCACAGTTGGACTTAGGGGTTTCTCATATCGGATGGCTGCTGGCTACTTATTTCCTTCTAGGCTGCATGCTAAGTATTACTTGTTCATGGAAGTATTTTTTGAGCTTGTACAGTTAGATCCTGAAAATGATGTTTGCCTTTCATGTTGAGAGAATCGAGCAATTCTGGTGCCACCAGCTTTGCTGGTTCTGTGAGAAGCCTTCCTGCCTCTCCCAGCATGGTCTCCCCTACTGAAAGAGTCCAAAAAACAAGAGAGCCCTTTAACATAAGCTCATATGAAGCACATTCCTTCTGCTAATTTAAATCAAATATAGTTAGTGTACTCTGAAATGAGTTGTAAAATTTATATAAGTGAAGAATTTTGCATGCTTTATCCTGACACAAATTTTCTCAAAAGACCCTTAGACCATACATCTTAAATGGAAAATAACGGTAAGGATTAAAACCTTTGATACCTTCACTTTCCATGAAATTATGAGAGGGCCACTGTTATTGTTAAAGGTTGAGCTTGTGTCTCTATTAAGAATTAATATTCTAGTGGAACAGTCATTAATAACTGAGAAGTCTGATCTGAGAAAAATGTAGGTTTAATGGATGTAGTTTAGGTAGGCAGCTTTGCCTAAATCTCTGTAGTGGCAAGTATAAACTAGAGGGAAATCCATTTCCTTCTGCCCTCCAGAATACATAAAATACCCTAGGCTGGAAAAACTAATAAATAGAGGTATATATTTTATAAATAAGTTACATGGCGCTACCAAGGCATGCAAACCAAATGTACCTTTAATATGTAAATGTTTTGATTTATGGATGTTTTCTTAACCTCTTAGTTTTAGACTTGAATATTGTAAGGTAAGTTCTGTATATACTTTTTTTGCCCCCTTTCTCCCTGTTTAGCAATCTCACAAGCCCATAAAAAACCCAGACGCAATTTAAAGACCCCTATAGCTGTCTCTGTTTTCCTATACCTGTTGCTTAAGTCTCAGCAAGCTGCCCTGCAAGAGACAGAAACTTCATGAGGGATCTTGGGTTGAATCTCTTGAAAATGAGGTGGTTTCCCTCCTTCTGCTGGGGGGTCACACAGCACAGAGTGGCCTATGGTGGACTCCTGCCAATTTTGCCGTTTGCCACGTTCCTTCAACAAAAATGCTGTTTTTTCTATGCATATAAATAGGAGGCTTTGCTGCAGTTCTGCCTCATGCTCCTACCCGCGGTGTCCATTGCACAGCACACTCTCCATATGGCACTGATCAGATTGGCTTAATTATTAGTTTCTTAAAATATAGCGTCTTTATTACAAATTAAAAAATAATTATCTTTCCTCCGTGGTAATATTAACATACCGTGGCTTATCTTAGGAGTTCAGAAAGTCAATAAAAGTTAGTGGTTTTGCTGCCAAATAACTGCGTGAGCGTCTGATGGGCATCGCGCATCTTTAGCAGTTAAAAGAGTTTTGTCACGAGGGTGCAAAATGCCACTTTTGCAGGAGCCTCCAAGGGCTCTACATTTAATGCTAACGCAGTAATTCATTATTGCAGTGATAAAATCTCATTTGAATCCTTGAGAATTTTTTTAATTCAGGCATCTGTATTTTCTTTGATGACCAGAAACTCTGAGCCAAGTCAACAGGATTACTTTTTAGGAAGGTCTGAGTAATTAAATAACCATAATAAAATACATAACAAAATACTGAAGGGAAAGGAGGAAGGAATTCTTATTTGAAAGGAAATTTTAAGTATCACTTAATCCAGTCTGAAGAAAATAATTATAACTTTGGGAATGTGTACCTTTTTAAATGGAAAATATTTACCAGTGAAATTCTTTATTTTTTTCATCTGTCCACAAAATAAAAAGGTCAAAAACAACTATATATAATTTAAGTTATTACTGTAACTGCTAAAGGAAATTCATTTGTTCAAAGAGAAAATCCCTACTAAACGGTGAAGCATTCTTTTTTGGCAAGAGGAAAAAAAGTGATATACAGTTTATAGCATAAAAAGCAAAAGGAAATGCCGGAGCTACTTTTTGTCAAGCTCAAATAAAAGGAGCAATGATCCATCAATTTAAGACTATTTTAGAAACGATCTATAATCCAGTGCTGCAGATGTTGGAATGGGGTCAAGAAATTGTTGAGCCTTATGCCGTGCAAGTGTTTTTCTTCCCACAAAAGTGAGCTGAATTGCTAACTAAAGAATTGTTCAAGTTCCTTAAGATTACAAGTTAGGAGATAGGCAGAAAAGAGAGATCTCATTATTAATGGTAATGAAATGAACGATGTCGTAAAACAGCAAAAGTGCCTGTTAGGAGGGCTCTAGTGTCAATGGCAGATATTTAAGCAAAAATACTTTGAATTTAGGCTTTGGCCGTTACCAAGGCAACTGTAAGCTGGAAAGCAAGTAGCTGAGCACAGGGCAACCACACAGCAAAGAGGGTCGCTGTATGGTGAGTTTGGCTCCCCACTTCCATTTACACCCCCTTTTGCAATCTCCCTAAATAAAATTATGATTAATTGTGGCATTTGGAAGCCATGCTGGTCTACTGCTGCAGTCACAGGATGCATTAGGAAATGTCCTTCATCTGTTTCTGCTCCATGTGAGCTACCAAGGAGAAGAAAGTGTGTTTGTGGTGACGCTTATCATCACTGTTTTAAAATTCCTGCCACATGGAAAATGGGTGATAAGCCAGTGTATTTAAGGAGGAAAAGTCCTTTTGAAAGGTAACTGGTTAAACAAAATGTTGTGCATAAAGTTGTAGTTGTGCAAGATCCTGGTGAGGTGAGAATGCACAACATTTTGTTTAACCAGGGTGTGGAAAACCAGACCCAAAAAGAGGCCAAGAAGCTCTAAAGATGCACGGGAATAAAGAAAACTCCCAAGAAAGGAGAATAAAGAGCCTCATATATTAGTGACGCATCCTCTAGACTTAACAACTAACCCTACAGAATAAGGAAGAGTCTTCTCCTCCTGCATCTCGTTCCACGACTGTCCATTTCAGTGTGTTTGTGCCCTTCCTGGGAAGTGGTAGCAATGGCTGGACACAGAGCTGCTCATCCAGACGGATGCTTGGGCTGCAGCGGTATCTAAGCTCCTATGACCTAGCTTAATGGGTCAACATCTGCACCTTCCATGGATTGGCTCTGCCAATAATTATCCTCAAATTAGCTAATATCTGTTTCCTATACATAGTCAGACACATGCAAATGTGGTGTTTTAGTTTAAAAGCAGGGTTTGGCTATCTTGGCTGCTGCCTTTAGTCTCCCTATATGAAGAACCATCAACAGACCCGTTCACTGCACAGATACAGGATGGGTTTTAGGTTTTTGGTTTTCTGACTTTTGATACTGCTTCCAACCAATTTGAACACGCTAGCATTTGACTGTGGGGATGAAAAATGCTCAGCTCAAAATCCCACACTCCTTTCCAAAAGCTGGTTTACAGAAGTTAAAAAAAAAAAAAAAGCAAAAATAATAATAAAAAGTATTAGATACTTTCCTTTAGTGACAAGACATTTGGGGGGAAATCATCCAAGCTTGAAATAAAATCTTTATTGAAAGCAATTCTACATCCATGCCAGTGAGCTCCATCGTGCGATCAGAGCAGATGTCCCAGGGGAAAACCCTGCGCCGCCGCCAGGGTTGATTACTTGGACCTCCTGTCAGTTCCTAACTCATTGACAATGGCTGAGACATTCGGCACAACTTTGTTTCCTTTATTTGGAAGTAAAGTTAATATACTTACCTTAACTGTGCCAAATGTACTGGAAAATAACCTGATAATAAAACGTACCATCCTACGAAGTGATAATGTCTGCGTGTATAAGCACATTTTGGCAGGGCTCTTGCAGGCTAGTTTTTCAGTGCTAGGAAGGGAGCCCAAGTGCAAAACGATGCACAGATAAACTATCAGGTTTCTTCTGAATGTATTTCCTTTTCATTTGAGGCCCGTTATATCCTTTTCTGAGATACTGCAGCTTGCGGTAACATCATTTCTGATGCAAACTCACACTGCTCACTCCAGTTCAGCTGAAGTAGGGTTTTTTTTTTTTTTTTTTTTTTTTTTTTTTTTAAGGCCTGAATGGCTTTTGGTAGTAAAAGCATAACTTGCACTACAAAGTTTGGCTTTGCAAACACCTGCCACAAGGAGAGGCAGCACAAGGCCAGGGCACTGCTTAACTCCCTCCTCAGAGCATCACCAAACCCATCATCAGTGGTACCCGAGCCTGATACCATAAGGTCCACGTCAACTAACCATTCAATCCACTGCACTGCAAGACAGATACATTTAAAATTTAGTAATGAATTCAGATTCTTGATATGTTATGAATGCAAGCTAAGCCTCATTATTATTTATGTACTCGATTTATGGGCAACGAAGCCACCGGCTGATGAAGCCAAGCAACTGCAGACATTATCAGTCGAGTTCCCATCCTGCTGGTGAAACCCAAATAGTGAATTCTGGGCATGAGGTTTTGTGCATACGTCGTAGCTGGAATCGGTGGCTTGTGCTTACGGTGGCACTCCAAAATACTACGACATAGGCCCTTTTTGAAAAGTGCAGTGCAGTTTGTTCTGCAATGAATACATGCAATTCAGAGCACACAGAAAATATCCAAAAATGATTAATACTGTTTCAAGCTACTTTCTCTTGCCGAGGTAAAATACTAAGGCGCTTTACATTCCAGTTTAAATTCCAAGTGTTGAATTCAAAACAATAGCTATCCGAGACTGGTAACAGAGAAATCAGGTCATGGTGTAAGATATGTTAAG